GATAAAAGGCATTTATTTGAGGGAGATACAGCCCCTTCGTGCCATCGGGATGCTCACTGACTTCACAAGGGTACCTACAACAAGCAAGACTTGAGTATGCACTCACCTCCACCCTTCAAGAGCAAACTCCCTAGCTCCCATGGAAGAGACAAATGTATCCTGAGTGCCTGAATGGGACCTTTCAATCAGAAGCTCTCAAATACCTTTTTAGGCCATGAAATCTTAGCGTTATGCACCAGGAGCAGAAACAGCTACAGGCCACAGAGCTGAAAACTTAAAAACCTGTGAGACCTTTCCACTCTGCTGTTTACAAAACACAGGATGGTAATATCCAGCAAAGCATATTAAGTATGATTTCTGCTTTCCCCCTTTCTCAATTTTCCTGTGAGTACTGTGGAAAAAAAACAGCTAAAAATGTGCAGGAGAAAGTCTTCCTCAACATGCTTCTCTCTCTAGATATTTAAAGCCAAGACAGAACCTTCTGAGAGAGCTTTTAGATTGATTTCTTAGGAAGAAAAAAAAGCAAAACTAATTTGTGATTAGAAGACACAAAGATGTTCAGTCAGATGGAAGCGTTCCTGAAAAGCGAGGGGAAAACTACCCAATCAATTCATTCAGCTGCCCTAAAGGGTAAACAGCAAACTTGAGCACAGTCTACAAATCCTGACTATTATTAACAGTTTGACCAGAAGCGGATGTTTTTTGTAGTTATCTTCCTACTTGTGAAATCTGATTAACTACAAAAATATGTTCGACAGATCCTGACACCAAAGGAAAGAGGAAGAAAACTCGCACTATTGCTCCCAGTGTCAGGCTCAGGTCCCTCACTCAGAGAAGAAACTCATTTGAAAAGGTTGTTTCAGCCTGATAGTGGACACTTGAAGAAATGAAAACAGAAGAGGCTTTCTGGGTTGCAAATTTACCCAAAAGGCATACATCTTTGCATTCACAAAACTTTGCTTAGCAGCTCATAAAAACCTCCTTTTCAAAATGATCTGTCAGTAAAGCAGGTTTCTAGAGTTATCTAAATGTCTTAAGAAGAAAACCCAAAGCCATTTTTTACGTGGGGAAAGCTCCCTTTTCGATACTGGGAGCCTCTAAGGTGAAGCCTACGTAACCCTTCTGCCTGTAGGTGTGAGCCGTGTATTGCTCAGCAGAAGGCAATTTCCTTTCCCCCTTGCTTTTCCTGAGGAGCCCTTCCTTCTCCCTGCCTGTTCCAAAAGCAGGCAACAAAACCTCCCTCTGCAGCAACACAAGGCTAAACATTCCTCTCTCTTCTGCAACTTGCTGAGCTGCCTCAGCCTGTGACTATTTTTTGGCTTTTAAAAAATATTTCAGATAGTTTAATTAGGTTTTTAGTTTCAGGTGCTTGTAAGTATGAGACTAGGGAGCTGCTGACACGCAGTAGTAGTTGTGGAAGGATTGTTGGCCAGGATAAAGGACCCTTAGTTGGGAGCTCTGGTTTGCATTCCCCTTCCCAACACAGGCCTCCCGAGCCCCCAGGCTTTGGAGGACAGTTGCCTCCAGTAGTTTCCCAGCCATAGAAATTCCTGCTGCTCCTAGCTGAGGGCACAATAGGTTTTCCTTGACAATTGTTTAAGGTAAGGAATAACTCTGATTCACATCAGCAAGGATGATGGCAGGGTGCTATGAAGGATTAGTCGGTTCATGTCTGTAAACAGTCCAAGATTTACTGATCCTCAAGCTGCAAACGGGGCAAAGGGGAAACCCAAAACTAAAAACCCTTCTGAATATCCACCACCCCATGGACTCAGAAAGTATACGTCTCCTCCTGAGGGTTGTCATCTTTATTCCTAGACTTTTCCCTCAAGTGGACCTACTTGAATCGGAGCCAGGCAGCAGTGCTGCTGTTGTGATCCAGAGATCACTATTTTTGACGCTGCTGCTTTTAACCATCAGTGTCACAAGCAAGCCTCAACTTGCTTTTGGCAGCGAGGCAATGAGGGAAATGCCTTCCTCTTCCTCTCCTCTGGCCCTACTCCCACTGTTGTGCTCAAAGTGGTAGTTTTACTTTCCACAGCCTGTTTAGTTTTGACAAAAAAGAGAAAAGTATTTAATTTCTCTGCTGCTACCACAGACGTCCAAGCACCTTTGTTATCAGGACTGTGTTGTAAATCCGTGAAATCTGCCTGCAGACAACATGCCTGCAATATTATGTAAGTTAACTTTATTTAAAATAGGCACCACAGACTTTGTGTCTGCAGATTAAGAGTCCTACAACCCTTTTAATCTCATTTTATGTATCTTTCTCAGAAAAAAAAACATAATGCTCCTTTACAGGTAAGCAGAATGTGGAAGACAATAAACCATTCAGCTAAATGTCAAGCATAAACAGCTACAGTGCCGTGCAATCATAAAACACCATTAATCATTTACATCAGGAAATGCCACAGTAAGGGTGAACACACACAACCTTATCTGCTCCTTATGTACACATGCAGGTTACAAGCTTTAGTTACATTACTTGTGTGCATGAAACAAACAGCTAAATGGGGTTCAGTTCCCTTGCCCTGGGTGCTGACTTCATACAGCTTCAAAAATCTCCATGTTCACTGACTGCACGTGAGTTGCAGCTAAAATTGTTCAGAGCATTTTTATCAGTGCTGGTTTAACATCTCCTTGTGAAAGGGATAGAATTTGTTTCCTGTAGAACATGATATAATGAATTTCTGCCTTCCATAAGGCATTTCTGCCTACCTTTCATCCTGTTTTCAATGACCACCCCTCCAACCCTGGAAGGAAGGATTTCTGGTGGTGTCTGAGAACTATTAAGTTACTTCTTGATGCTCTGTAGGGAGATGCACAAGCGACTGCAGAGTTGTTCTTATAAACAGGTTTTCAGAGCAACTTCTCTGGAGAGGTTTTCTTCCAGTGCTCTCTTATTCAGAGTAATTTCAGTTTGGGGTTGTGGTTTTGGAGTTTTTTTGGTGGATTTTTTCTTCTTGTTTTCAGATCTAAGAGAGGAGTTTTCTCCCAAATAATAGAAAGCAAGTGACATCCAGTACCCTGACATTACAGGTAGGTGTCACATAGCCCTTTTGTGAATTTATCAAGCCTCAAACAAAGCCAGTCAGCATGTTCAGCTAAAGGCCTTACACAGTCCCCCCTGAGATCTATTCCAAGGCACTCCTGACAGAGGCACAAATGCATCCAGTATATCCTATGCATATGAGGACTCTGTCATCTCCCGTGGGATACTTCAAGGTTTACTTTGTCCCCTCTCAGTTGTTTGATCTTTTTTGGGGAGAGGGGGGGGAGTGTTGCGGTGGGAGCTCTGCGTGTGAAGTTTGCTGACATTGACCTCAGGCACAAAAGCTTTTTAAGATGGGGAAGGAGAGCAAGAGAATTCCAGACACATTGTCATCAGCTAAAGATACCGATAAAGAAACGTCCTCAGACAGTCTCTCTCTTTTTTTTTTTTAATCATTACAGGTGAGATGGTGAAGCTGTACAGACATCACTGAAACCCAAAGAATTAATCAAAAGGTGCAGTTACAGGGTACTGCCACTGCCTATGTAAGAATCAACACTTAAAACACATGAACACCCCGCAGCCTCCAGGTCCTGCTTTGTTTTTGCTTTGGTTTTTTTTTTTATTTACTGTCAGATTAGTGAGTGGAACTGGCTCAGCACAGGGCCCCACGCGTGGCAGGGCTGGGAGCAAAGCAAGACTTCCCCCTCTGGCACCAGCAATGTTCAATCTGCTCAGCTGGGATAGCTGCACCACCAAAACAGCTCGCTGCGTGTTTTGACATGTACATTGACTGATAACCGAAATAAATGGAGAAGAATGCACAGCTCTCTCCCAGTCACAGTTTCTACCCAGCTCTCCAGAGCGACGGCAGACCTGGCAGTGGGGTGCCCTGGCCCGAGCAAGGTAAGTGCAGCATTTAGGGCAGCTTGCTCCCCTGGCCTGAGCCACCAGCGGTGCACAGGGGCCGCAGGCAAATGCAGAGGAGAGCTATCTGTATCTTCATGGGGCTAGCGAATCTGCTCGAGACAGGAGAAATGCTCTGTTCAACTCAAGAAAGCAAGTAACGAGCACCCAAGCCTTGATCATGCACTATCATCAAGAGAACAACAGAATTAGGGGGGAAAAAAAAAATTACAAGAGGCTTAGCATTTAATGCTCTAAAGTAGTAAATCCACAGCAAATCCTCCTGATTCTAAATATGCCTAAGACATATTTTAACTTATTTTTTTAAGTTTTCTCAAATGCCGTCTTACACTCCCAAACAGCTAAGCTCCACTGTTACATTTGCTTTCTCAGTATTCAAATCAGGTTACATCCAGTGCCTCGAGTGCCCTTCTGGCATCCCAAAAAGTTATTTCCAATAAATAGTAAGCAAGCCGTTTATTTGTATTTATCTCCCCTTTTAAACTCAAGTAACCCAATGTGTCCAACAGATTAAAGCTGATGTAAGCATTATTTTTTTTTGAGCAGTCAGAGAAAGTTTGCTCTAAAATTATGCATGTTACCCATGCATAATTTTACCACTTAAAACCAGAATGCCCTTGGAAGGGTTTTAGCAGAAAAAAAAATACACCTCCCCATTTGTGCACACAGACCCTGAACAGAGAAGAGAGCAGCTGCTGCAATCTACCTAAATGTAAGTTTTTCTTCTCAGTGTTTGAAATTTAAATTAAGGAAAGACTGACCCCAGTGTGGAAATTAATCAATTTTTCTCCAGTGGTGCCTTCTCATTTTACTACCAGAGACCACAAACACCTTGGGATCATTTTCTGGCTTACTTCTCGTAAGACTGGTGTGAAAGCTAAATGTTACTGTGCTTGGCAAAGTCAGCCAAAACCCTGCCTCAAAACAAGATTGTTAATGAAAAGCAACAACAGTACACATGGAGAAAGAAAAACCCAAACAACAAACAAACAAAAAAAATCCCAGTTTATCACCTGAAATAGAAGTTTTATAAACACCTTTGGCTGGAAAGAAAACAAGTAGCAGCCATAACTTCACTTACTTCCACGAGAGAATCCCCACTGCAAACGTGACCGAGCTCCTATGGACTGTGGATGGGAAAAGGAGAGCCACACACAGAAAATATATCCTGACCAGTCGTCCCTTTCAAGCCAGGCAAATAACTGTACGATTACACTACATCCCTGGGAGCATGGTGCTTTACTGGCAGCAGCACTGCCACCAGGATAGGGAAAAACACCCTTTAAAAACGAAAAGAAGCTATATCAGTAAAAGTGCACTTTTGCAGATATCTGCTTCTACAGCTGGGACTTCTGCTGGCACAGCTATGTCAGTCACGGGTCACACTTCGTCACAGCGCTCGCAGACAGAGCTGTGCCAGCAGAAGTTTGCCATATAGACCTGGTGGGAAACTCCACAGCGACCAAAATGAATCTGCAAAGTTTTGTGTTTTTCGTGCTGCTGCCAAAAGAAGTTTTGCTAAGTCTGACGATGGGTAGTCTCACTCCTGTGCTGCCGGCACGTTAGGATCTTGGCTTACAAGGACCCGAGAAACCTAAACTTAGCTCAGGAACGTGGCAATACCTGTCAGCCATTTACATTGTACTTTATCCTTCAATTAAATACACAAGCTAAATTAGAAAGAGCCCCTGTAGGAAGATAAAATGAAATCAATTAAATTCTGCTATACTTTAGCACTCGGAGTAGACTGCCCTCACTTCTGATAGTAAGAAACTGAAAGCGTTTAACAGGTTTTGTTTAGCAGACAGCAAAGCACTGCAAAATTTCCACTGTTCAAACAGTCAAACCGTAACGGGGCTTTTGTCATCTTCAGTCATCTTTGAAGACAGTGAGCAACGGGATTTAACACCCGAGTTGATGCTCAGACTCAAGTTCTGTTTGGGTGAATCGACACGATACCGCGGCTTGTGTGTACAGTGATGCATATTGTTATTCCAGAGCACGGAACAGCAAGATGTCAGAAAGCGCGCTCTGCCGATATGCTCTGGAGCAAAATTACAAAATCAAGCTGTAAATAAACTCCCACCACCCTCCGTGGGGGAAAAGAAAGCCACAGGCAAGCGCTCCGGTGCCTCCGAACCCGCTTGCGTTCAATAATGAATAAAGCCGCCTGAAGCGCGGGGCTGTGGAAAGGAGAAGGGCTACGTACAGGAAGTCAGGTCAGGCTGCAGCGCTTGCATGCAGCGCAGAGTGAACCTCAAACGTAAACCCTGCCTTTATCTTTTGTGAGGTTATCAGCCAGCACGTGGCCGTACCTAAAGCGGGCTGCGTTTCGACTGCAGTGCAAATTTCACCATCGATTCCTATTTTGATAGGAGGATCGCAGAAATAAAATCACTGGCAGTGCTGTGTTTGCAAAGGCCGTGCTCCACCTTCGTCAGAGCTTTCTGGCCCTCCAAACTGCGATACAGCGTCTAGGAATTCCTTGGGTTGTGTCACAAGGAAGACTTTGTTGTTATAAATACTGTACTTTTTTTTTTTTTTTTTTAAGAAGAAAAAATAGGGGGGAGGGCAAAAACATCTGAAAGGAATGACAGAGGCTAAAAATAGACACATTATCATCACTTTCATTATCAGCCATGTCTACACACACAAGAAGTATAACTGCGAGCAACTTCAGAATGAGGTGTTTTCCCCTCCAGGTTAGTTTTAGGTTGTGGGGGAGCGCATTTGTGCTTGGCTGAGCAACGGAGCGTCACAGAGAGGGGATGGCACAGGTATGAATTTAATTGTAGCAACACACACACACACCCCCCTTAAACAAGGCCATGTAAAATTCTTATCGGCAGGCTGGCTCACTGAAGTTGTAACTCTCCAACGCAAATACTTAGCCTATTCAAAGTTTCAAAAATGGCCTGATAAAAGCTACTTTCAGCAGGTCAGATAAAACTTGGTGTAGCTGCGAAACGGCAGAAAGCAACCGAGCCCTCCGCCATGATAACCAAGAGTACTTAAGTTTAAAAAGCAAGACCCAAACTGGTCCAAAAACTGGGTGTTTAGGTGTGTTATTTTGTTTGCAAGCAGCACCGCCTGAGCTTGAAGCCCAGCTTTTATTGCAGGTGACATTTCTGCCATCTTCCTCGTCTGGGACCGCTGTGGGCCACTTGGAAAAAGCAATGAAACCCGTACCTCCCCAAAAAACACCCTCGCCAACCAGGTCACCCAGGGTGCCAGGCAAAGGTCCCATCAACAGGATCCCGGCCGGCCTGGAGGGGGATTGGGGCCAAACGCTCTTGTTTGCCCCGCGCCGGGGGATCACCCCCCATGGCCAGGTTCGCCCCACAGCCCGGGTTCACCCCGCTGCTGCCGCCCTCAGCCGGGGCCAGGGGGTGAGCCTGGTACCCCCCGAAAGCAGCTCGGGGGGTGGAAGGGGTGGGGTGGGGGGTGTGGGGGGGCGGCTGCTAACGCCGCCGCGGCCCAGCCTCCGGAGATCCCACCACCACCACCGGGACCCCCGCTCCTTCCTCACCCCTCAGCGGGACCCCTCTACCCTCCGGGCCGCCTCTGGCCGGGGCTATGCCCGCAGAGCTCCCCCGCGCCGTAGACACGGATCCGTCAGAGCGGCGGGCTGCCCGGCGGCCCAGGCCGCGGCGGCCGTCCCGGGTGCTGGCCCCGGTGCTGGCGGGGCGGCGGCGGGGCCCGAGATGGCGGCGAGGGCCCGCTTCCCCCCCCTCCTCCTCCACACACACACACCCACACCCACACACACACATACACGCACCCCGGCCCAGGCCCCGGCGCTCACCTGCATCCGGCGCGGCGGGGCGGCGGGGCCGGCGGCGGCAGGGCGGCGGGGAGGCGGCGGCGGCGGCGGGCAGCAACGACATGCAGGCGGCGGCCCGCCGGGGGAGCGGGGCCGGGCCGGGCCGGGGGGACGGAGCCGCGGGGCCGGGGCGGCGGCGGGGAGCGGGCCGGGGCTCGGGCGGTGCGGAGGGCGGAGGAGAGGGAGGCGGTGCGCGGGGAGGTGGCGGCAGGAGGCGGGCGGGGCCGGGGCGCCGTGGCGGGGGCGGGGGGGGGGGGGGGGGGGAACCGCGGGCACACACGCGGGTCCGTGTCGCCGCTCACATCCTCGCACACGCCGGTGTCAGCACCTTGCCCGGGGCGGGGAACGACGCGCCACCGGCTCGGGGAGGAGGGGGAGGTTGCAACCGGCAGGTCCCCGAAACGCCCGAGGGTGGGGAAAACCCTCTTCAAAACCCTATTTTTACCTCATGATTTTGCTGGCGACACTCAGGAGCCGTCTCCGGAGCGGGAGGCGAGGAGGTGGTTGTCATCGGGAGGGCCTGCAGCACCCCGGGAGACGTGGCTCGGGTTTGGGGGAGACTTTCGCCCCTCTCAGTTACGGAGGCGAGGCGGTGAGTAGGGGGGCTGCTCACCCCCGGGGTTGGGGGAGTGGGAGAGGGAAATGGCCACCGGCAAAGCTCGGGGGGCTGCGGGGACAGACCTCCGTCTTCAGCCTGGGATTTGAGGGTGCAAACGTCTTCCTTTTCGGCGCTAGTCACGTTTGTTTCTCCGCAGGCGGCAGCTCCTTTTTCTGGGAAATCGTTTTTGGCACCCAAATTACAGTTGTACAGACCCATTTGATACAGGGGATGCTCTTCTGGGCAGCTGAAGCAAGGGAGTGCAGGTAAATGTCACCCCAGCGTGAAAGCCCATCTTCTCTCAGACACACCAAGATTGTTTCAGTGGCTGTTTCCATGGTCAGTGAGGAGGAAGGCGGGCCCACTGTGAGGGAAAGATGGATTGAAAAATAAAATAAAAGCAGTAGCCAAAGGAGGGGAGGGATATAGGTCTTTGTGTGCTGACCGGTGGGACAGCCCAGGTGGGAAAATGGTGCTGGGAAAAAACAAAACAAAACAAAACAAAAAAGCATAGAAAAAGTTCAGGGAGGTGTCTGAGGGAGCAGCAGGCAGGTGGGGGCACAGGGTGGGAGAAGAGATTGGGCACAAGAGCTTTTTATTTTAACTTGATTTCTACTGCAGCTGCCTGGACTCATTCTGGACCAAAAAAGCTCATTTATGGTCAGAGAGCTGGGAGTACGGAAGGAGCCTCTGCGATGGAGCAAGGGGTTTTGGTGGGAAATGGGCTTCAGAGCAAGTGAGTAATCAGGAATGGACGCATATTAACCGTGAGCCCATATTTCCCTCCCAGGGCCAAACCCCATGATCCGCAGCAGTGACCTTACAAGTCGGAGGCTCACAAGGGGATCTAGGAGTCCTGGAGGAAGACCGTAAAGGATGCAGGTTGTTACCTGATCACAGACTCACGTGGTGAGTCTTGTGTTACATCTGCCACTGCTATAGTTGACATACATGCCTAATGTCCATCTGAAAAGAACCCTTTCCCCCAAACCTGCTCTGCCTCTGTTTTAAATTCACGCTTTTTCACTCCCCACTGAGACTTTTTAACCAAGAAGGTGTATTTTTTTTTTTTCCCATCCTGTCACCCTCACACCTCCCCGTCTCAATCCTGGGACACTAAATGTGTAGTTACATTGGACAAACAGGTATTGGTTATGACTTCGTTTACATATGCATGTAGGTCTGATTTAAAAATAAAAATTCTAGTTCAAGAGGCTTCCTGCTGTATTGGGGAATTCCAGGTGAGGTGTAAACATCCAGCAGCTTGCCAGGCTTTTACAGCGCCTGTGGTCCCTATGGAGACAAACGCTGACATTTCTGCAGAAAGTTTGAATCATCTTGCACCAGAAGACGACACCTAGTCAGGTATTTTACAAGTATTTCCAAACAAACGAGAGAAGGTGAGCCTGAGCTGAGAGTTTCCAGCAGGAAGGGCTTGATTGAATTTAGAGAATATTCTTGGACACAGATTTATCAGGGAGGGGGAATGAAACTGCAGGAGTTGGGATGTTTCTAGTCAAAAACACATCAGTGGGGAATAAACAGCCTCCCCCCAAAAAGCATGTGTGTATATAGGTTTATAGTTTATGGCATATACCTGAACATCTTAAGACATGGTTCAGCAAAGTCCTTCTAGATGGATGCTGCCCCCTGAGTAGGTTTGTAGACCAGGCCGATCTTTTCCCAATGCATTCGCAAGGGAACAAGAATGACGGCAACCTGAAAAATCTCTTTCTCGAACTACTGAGGACTCACAGCAAAAAACAAACAAACAAACAAAACCAACCAAAAAACCGTTAAGAGTGAAACCGCTAACGTTAACCCCCGCAGATGTTTCTTTTGGGCGGAAATAAGGGAAGTTTCTGAGGGGAGCGGCTCTGGCTGCCCGCAGGAGGCGCCGCCATGTTGGGTCTCCCTGCCCTGTGCGCGCCTCCTGAGGGGGAGCGGGGGGGCGGGGGCGGGGGGGGGGCCCAGCTTCGTTCGCAGGGCTGCGGGAACAACCGCGGTTTTACACCGAGGCCGCTTTTAAAAAGCGGGACGCTTTTCACCAAACCCCCGCGCCGGTCCCCGCCGGGGACCGGACACACGCTGGGCAGGGCGGAACGGCACCGCCGGGACCTTTGCCGCGGCGGGTGGAGGGCAGGGGGGGGACGCTTTTCGCGGTGCGCCGCGGTGGCTCTGCAAGATGGCGGCGCCCACTGCCCGCTGCCTGTGGCGAGGTGAAGGGGTTTCGCGGTCTCTCCCGGCGCTGGCCAAGCGCGGGCGGTGGCTGCCGGCTCTTCTCTGTGTCCAGCCGGTGGTTTTTCCCTTAGTCGCGGGGCGGGCGTCGGGAGGGGGAGGGCGACCCTGAGCGGCGGCGGGGTTGGGAGGCCCCGGGGAAAGCGGGGAGGCCGCGGCGTCTGTCTGAGGCGATGCTTGTTTTCCCCTCGCAGTGCTGGCCCCACGTCGCGGGTGGGTCTTCCCCGGGCTCGACCAGCGCCTCGCCGGCGCCTCGGTGAGCGCCGCGCCGCCCGGCCGGCCTTACGCTGCGGCAGCCAAGTGAGTGCGGCTCCTCTCCTCCTTCCACCCGAAGCTTTCCGTGTCTGCGCTGAGCTGGTGTGCCGCTAGCTGCTGGAGAAACAGCCGGGAGAGGGGAGATCTAGGCTGGACCCGTGGGCAGTGTGTGCTGTTATCCTTGCAATAAGGAATGCAGCCGTTCTGGGGAAAGATTAACTTGCTATTTCTGATGGGTGCTTTTGGAGGGTATGGCTGGATTACAGTTTACAGAGTGCTGTTAGCCTGAAACCTAGTGAGCGTATGGAATCGGTTCCAAACAGTTCCTCTCCTTGCTTCGGGTTGCTTTTCTTTCATTCGTTGTCTCTAATATCGTGGTATAAGTGGGAGAATTAAAAATGACTTCTGGGCACAGAACAGTCAACTGTGCTGTACACCAGGCGTTCTGAAGTGTTGCAGACTCTCACCATAATTAATAGAGAAATAGAGTAGCTAGCTATTTCTTTAATATCTTTTCTCCCCAATTTGAGAGCCTTTGAAAATAGGTAGGTGAGTAATGATGGGGGCTAGTGTTTGTTAGCTGCATGCAATATGCTGCAGGAAAGGGAGGAGAAACATTTTTTGAAAGGTGGGACTGCCATGATCCACTATAAGAAGGAAAACAACCCTGCAGATGTGGCTCCTGGTTACTGGGAAGGCATGTGGTTATTTGTTCAATTGAGAAGCAGCTCAGGCATAGTGCCTGCTACCAGTCCACGTGAGGGCAAGATCTCTTAATGTCTTATCTTAGCCTGGCTTTGCTTTGATGCAATAGGAGGTCATTAACTTGGTTCCATGCTGCACAAATGTGGTTATGTTGTTTGAGGAGCTTAATTGACTTCAGAGCTTTTGATTTCTGATTGTTTGATTTCTGTCTTGGCCATGTCTGAGATAATTATCTGGGGTGAATTTAGGGATGCTGTTCATCTTTGGGTAGAACGCTTCTTGTTAACTAATTGTTACTTCGTAAGTGACACGTGACAGTGTCTACTTTTTTTCTGTTGGAACACGTGCTAAACTTTTCAGTTGATGATCTAACAATATTTTTTGTTTGTCTCAGAACTGCCAAAAAAGATTCACAAAAGACCAAGCAGGAAGAAAAAAAAACCAAGCCAGTAACTAAGAGGCGGCTGCTGAAGAGCAAGCCTGTGGATGATGTATACTTGACGTGGTATTATGAACGGCCATCCTATGATGTGGAAGTAGCTGTGGGTATGCTAAAGAAATTTCAAGAACTGGATTTCACTGGCCCCAGACAGTATATCTACGTTAATGTATTCCTAGATATGGCACTACAGAAGAAGGTAGGTTGGAAGTGTGTACAGTGCTTGATAGTTTTTTCTCTTTAACGTGAGAAAGCTGTGTTTTAAGTGCAGAGCAAATGCTACTGTCTGCCTTCTCAGATTGTCAGAATAATGTGTGCTTTTGCAGGTGTCTTTGTGCCTTTATACATGTAGAATTATTAAATATCCCTCATGCTCCTGAGGTGAAGATAGCACCACTGAGGATTTTGATGACAGGCTATCATGTGACTAATATTCATGTCTGAACAGAACTGATCAAACTAAGCTTTGCATCTGTTCAGGCTTTCCAGTGAAAGATGTGCTACCAGAACCACATGTGTGTTTTGTTCTGGGATGGTTGTTACAGGGAGAAGTGTAAAGACAATCTTCTTCCTGCCTCTGACCTTCACCTTGTTTTGATTTTTTTTAATAATGTCGCTTGGAAGAATGCTGTTGCTTGTTTGCTTGGGGTGTTTTTTGATTTAAAGGTGTCTAGCCCAGCTTAGATTTTCCCTAAAACTCCTGCTTCCTTCATAAGTAGAAAACAGGCCACTTGGTTTCTTCACATGTGTAACTAAATATCCCTTTGGCCCCTTAGAACTAGAAAATAAGTTCATGCTTGAAGAAATGCAGAGCTCTTGCTCCTGCTTTCAGACACTGCGTTGTATTCCTAGTACTTGGTGAGAGACACATTTTTTGCTGGTGGTTTGCAATGGCCGTTGCATCAGAAACATCATTTAGATAAGCTGCAACTTCAGCACCCCAGTGTTTGTTATTGACTGCACCCAAGCCTGGTAGCAGTCCTACACTGGAGTTGCTGATCCCAGCCCGTCTTGTGGGCAAACTGCAGCATAATTAATTAATGTCTGTTAAGTTTAGATTTGAGTATATACCAGACATAAAAAAGCAGTCAAAACTTAGTCATCATGCTTGTCTGTTATGACCTCTGTGGAAGAAAACTGTGGGTAAGATTGCTATTTAGGGGACCAATTCCATGTGATTGTGTAATTTGCCCTTATGTCATGTTTTTTTTTTTTCTTTGTTTTAATATTTTTCTTTCCTATTAGAAAAAAGTGGAACCATTTGCAAACACTGTTCTTCTGCCATATCGCTTTATAGATGAAATGAACAAGGTCTTGGTTTTCACGGAGGTGGGTAAGCCTGAATTACTTGCTTTATGTTTTACGTATCTAGCATGCTCTTGCAACAAAACTAGTTCCCATGCAAGTACTAGCCCTTTTATTGAGAATACTCTGCGAATGCTTTACAGAACTCTTAAGTCTGTCTGGGATTCATCTTGGGCAGCGTCTTAATGTATTAATAAGCATCTTAAAGGGTTTCCTTCATCTTGAGAGGTTTACGTATATGTAGATTATTATAGCAGTGTACTTAGGGAGTAAACATCTGCATAGATGTGACTAAGGAAGAGATGATTAAAGATCATTTATAGCATAAAACCTTTGCCACCTTTTTGTAATACAGGCAGATGGGTTAGTGTAGCAGCCATGTCAGTCCCTGCTGTCTCAAGCCTTAGGCAGTGCAGGTTAGAAGTGGGTGTTACTCACAGTAGTTTCTGCTGTAACAGGGTATCTTTGTGGGAAGAGAGGAAAGTAACTTCTCCTCAAAACCCCTAAACAATTTAACAGTCCTCTACTCTCTTAGGAGTTCACTAATGTGAAATGGTGTGTAGAGCACTTGTAGCATGTGTATGAGACCAGTCTCAGACTCTGGTGCTGTCCTTTTGCCAGTTAATCATTTTAACAGAATAGACCTACATACGTCTGTCTGACATTGTCCTAGAGATCTGTCACAGATCTAGTTGGCTACCTGTGGGGCTTCATTTTTGTGAAATTCTCTACCTGAGCTACAAGGTGAGAATCTTCCTACAGAATGGAGGGCTGACAAAAGACCTGAGCATGCCAGGTTGTTTGGTGCTGTATCTCACAATCTTCTCTTTTCACTCAAATTCCTGTGGGGTAAGAGATTCCATGCCTTGTAAAGCTGTATGTGTGGAAGAAGGTTGAGTGACTGAAACACTTGCTAGTGCTTTTGGATGAAAGCGTGGTGCTATTCAGTTTATTCTTGTGAGGAAAAGTTGATTCTGGCTTTGAGTCCCGCATATCTACTTGTATCAAAAGCTTGAGCAAAAGTTTTTACAAAACCAATGCCTTTTACCTTTCTGTATTTCAGACTATTAAAAGCGAAACCTTGCAGAGGAGGTTAATTTCTAAATGCTCTTTGAAGCCACTTCCAGAAGCTGCATAGCCTTATTTTACAGTGGTTTTTAGTAGCATGCTCAGTGCTCTTCTTTAAGCTTAGGGTAAGATGGTGGCTCCATCCAGTGGATGGTTCGTTGTAGTTTCCATGGGATGGAGGTGGGAGAAAAAGCGTTTCTCATAGGGCTCCTCAGCAAATGGAATGGGCTTTTCTTCTCTTCCACTAGAAGCTGACTAAAGACTTGACTATTGCTTCTTACTGGGATCTGGACCAAAGTGGAGTTGCTGCTCCTATGTTCAATCACTGGCATTAGATATGTTTGGTCTTGGATTGACTTAAAGCATGGTTCTTAACCTGTAGACAGCCTGTTTTTTATATCCAGTTGTTGAAGATAAATCACCTATCCAGTGCTGTTGACATGGATTAGTTGCTAGTACAGATATTTCTTTTTTTTTTTCTTTTTTTTCTCTTAACAGAATGAGCAAGAAGCTGAAATAGCTCGAGAGAATGGAGCTGCTGTTGTGGGAGGAGTTGAATTAATCAAATGGGTATTTATTATATTTTTTTTTAAGAATTATATAAATATCCTAACTTATCTGGGGTGGGGGGAGAGCAAGAAACTTAATTTCTAGTAAACCCTAGCTTGAAGTTATCAGCTGATATGACAAATGAGAGGTGGATTTCTGTGCTCAGACATGCTTTTAGGTCAACTTCCATATGTCATTTATTGTATTCCTAAGTATATTTCATTTTTTAATTGCAGATTTTGGAAGATGAAATCCAAGTGGACTTCTATGTAGCTGTTCCTGCAATAATACCTAAGCTAATACCGTTAAGGAACAAACTAAAACAAAAATACCCAAGCACAAAAAAAAGTAAGAAGAAATTCTTTCTTATAAATCTCAAGTATTTAACAAGACTGAGCTCTAGAAGTGATGCTGAAACTTTTTTGATGAGGATGTATAATTACATTGAGTATCAGACTGTATGTGACTGAACCACTTGGGTTTTTTTGGGGAGTAGTTTTAGGAATTAGGAAAACTATGCATTTGTCCTACACAAAGCAAATGCGGGATTAAAATCCAGATAAATTTGTTTATTATTTGCCCCTATGCTTGTTAATCCTGCTGAACCGTTTCCTCTTCACGTTAGGTTTTCACAGCAACAAACATCAGTCTCAATGCTTCTGTCCTCCCTTGCTGACTTACTTTATTTTAGCTATGTGTCAGGGGTCCGTTTCAAATACGGAAAAAAATGTAAGGATTTTTTTCAAACGTAGAGCCTGTGCCAGCTCTGTCAAGCACTGAGTTTTGAACCATATCTCTTACTTCTGTTCCCCAGCTGTCTTAATATTTTACAAGCTGCAGCCGGTGTTTTTAGGCTTCTGTACATTCGAGACGAACCTGTTAACCTTTCCAAAACATTGCAACAGAGAATACTCCAGATAATTTTTAGAACAAATGAAAGCTATAGTATGCTATTATGAACTTACTTGATTTGTAGCTTATCCAGGGCTGATTTCTCTTGGAGCCATCAAAAGTTGTGTGGGAGAAGTAATGCTTGTATTTGAAGCAATTGAGTGATGGCGTAAATCTGTCAACTGAGCCCTTGCAGTCGAGATAAGAAACGGTTGTCTTGACTTGTGGGAGTGGCTGGATTGGGCCAGTGTGTGCCAGGTTGTGTGTCACCTTGCTATTACATAGTTGTAGACTTCATTCTCAAGGAAGACTTTAGGCTTGTTCTCAACCTAACTCAGTAGTATTTGGTCTTTCAAGCTGCTTTAATTGCCTTAGGTAATAGAGATTTGTTTTATATATACATAAAGTGGTTATTTGAAGTGAAGCTTTTGTTACCTTTCCTACTGTATTAGCTATTCATGTCTGCTGATTAGTGAGGAAGGAGAGAAGATAGAAACAATTTACATAGTATATGTGATGATGCTGTTGCTTTGTCCATGAAACCGTGTTAACTGCATAAATTGAAAGTCTGAATTCTGTCTTTAGTAATATTACACCTAGCCATGCTAATAAGCATTACTCAGATAACTTTTTTGCCCCCTTTTTTTTTTTTTTTTTTTAAATTAGATTCTCTGGGCCATGACATTCCCAAAATGCTGCAACTCTTCAGAGAAGGTCTTGAGTACGCAGTAACAGATGAGTGTGTAATCAAGACAAGAATAGCAAGAGTAAGTTGTATATAGAGTTCTTAAGTTTTTTCTACTGAGCAGAACTGAAGTTAATATTAAAAGATGGGGAAAAACATGGTTTTAATCTGTGTGTTTGCAAGATTTTGAACCATGTTCTTTAACTGACCTATGAAGTAAGTGGAACTCTTTGTTGCGTGACATGTTCAGCTGATGTGAGCCCTGTACACTGTTAATGTGTGCTCATAGAAGATGGCTCCACTAAAACTGAGAGCGAGGCACACCTGATGCTAAAAAGTTAAGGATGCCAAGAACGACATCTGTATTTGCCACTATATTGGCAAGGAATTGTAATAATGAACAAAAAAGGATGAAAAAGGTACTATTCCTAGTAATCTTGGGAGTTGATATCTGAGGGAGAAAAGGCTTCCCTTTCCTCCTGCCTTCCCCAACACTCTTCTGTGAGTTAAAATAAAGCTTATTTAGTATTTTTTTTAAGTAAATAAATTGTGAGTTGTAACTCCATAGTCAGTATACACAGGTGGATCAAAAATGTTTGCTTTAACCTAATAATCAAAGAGTCATTTAATTTTGATAACTAGTTCTGGATTGGAGCCAAAAGCAAGAACTGTTTGCATGACAACTGAAATAGAGAAGTAATTTGTGCTTTGCTGTCATTTAAGAAATTGAGTTATAGAAGAGTATCTTTTCTCTTTTATTTATTTTTTTTTTTTGACCCTTAATGTTTTCTTTAATGTGTTTGTTTATTTTCCCCGCTCCAAACTGTTCTTTGTTTCCATTCTCTTTTGTCTATTTGTAATCCTGCCTGATGTTTAGTTTTCCTTTAGCTGATACTGGTACAGAAAGGAAGTGTACAAGATATCTAACCCCTGAAGCTTTGTCTGGTGTGTTAGAGATAAGGAAGTTTCTTCATTCTGGCTGGCAGCTCTGCCTTGTGCATGTGAATTCCAATGACTTGCTCCTCCATATGATACTCAAAACTGAGGTTCTTGGGTTGCTCCTGCAGAAGTGTGTTATATTTTGCACTTTGGTACAGGCAAGAAGTATCTTTAGTTGTTTGAAAGTAACGGACTGTGTGAAACGCCTCGAATCCATCGATCAGTCCTAGTTTCAAGTGCTGTGACTGCATTCCTTAAGTTTTGGTTTGGACTGCTTAAACCTTCATCATTTTATACTGTAGATCAGCCTGAAAAATAACTGCAGATTAACCTTATTAGAAAGTTTCTTCTTGTGTAACAGAGAAGAAAAATAAGGTGAATTACTCACCTTAATAAAGGTGACTGAAGAACACTGTCTTGACGGTATTCAGTGCAATTGTGGTTGGTTCTGCTTAGTGTGACGTTCTGCAGCTGTGGCTGGAGTTTCTGAAGTTAAAACCATGTCCTGGTGCGGATGTAAGATGCTGGTGTTAGAGATTACCTCAGGTTCTGTGCCTAGGCCGCTCAGTCCTGCAGTTTCACGGCACTTCAGGTTTGGTGCAGCCAGAGATGTCACGCTGTTACGAGTAAACAATAGGTTCTCACGACTGAACTCTTGATCGTGGATCAGAAACGGTCTGATGAGGGTTTACTTACAGAGATTGTACGTGCTGGGTTAATGTCAGCTGCGTGGCGGAGGTGACTAACTGCACACACACGGTGCGACATGCTCTGGCACACTGTTGCGTAGCGAGTTGCACGCAGAGGGATGATGACTCAGTGGTTATGGCTTGTGTAAAATGTCTCCACCCTCCCTAGCTACCATCCTTTACCTGACCTAGTTTTTCTGCTGTTTGCACAGCGGCGCTGGAAGGAAATCGAGTGCAGGCAAGGCTCTAGGAGGCCGAGAGCGCCTTGAGTGGCTGTGCGTATCTGCTCACCACTAAATCATGAGCTTTCTTTGAATTTAAAAGTCTTATCAGTGAGAAAATAATAATTTATGAATCACACAGAAGCATGAAGATCTATTGCTGTATTCTGAACAGTAGTGTAGATGTTTCTGGGAGTATGCCAAGCTGGTGTTTCTCAGAGATGTTTTCCCTTTAGCACTGCTGTCTCCGGTTGCCTGTTAGTTCAATTATGGCCGGTGGCTTGAGGTAACGCTGCGCTCACACGTCAGTCAGCAGCCTCAGTGGTGTTTTCTTAGTAACTGAGATGTGTTTGAAAAGCCCAGAAGTTAGCAGCACTTAAGTTTAATCAGTAGATCTGAAGTTGTGAAACTGAGAATGTAAAATGTTCTTTTAAGACATGGAGCTTAAAGCAGAAGGGGGACAAATGAGGACGCTCGGGATATCTCCTTCAGAATCAGGCTGACTGCAGAAGGCAGCTTAAAGGCATTTTTTGGAGAATTTTGACCTAAGTCTTGAGTCCAGACAGGTTGCTGTTGATCATCACAAAATTTCCTTTTTCCCCAAGTTGGAGTCGTATTTAGGAAAACCAGAGTCCAAATGTGACACCAGGGAGGAATTTCTAGTGTATCTTCTTACCTGTGCAGGGAGCTGCCTGCACAATGGTGGCTCTATGGAAAAAGAGTAAGAAGGTTTCAGGTGAGCCTTTAAGGTCTGTTTGGAAGGATGTATTTTCTGGGAAGGGACATGTTTACAGGAGCACTTTTTCATTCACAGGGTTAGAAGTACAGGGAGATGTGAACTGAACCAGAGGTCTTTCCAGCTTGGTACGCAGAACATACAGGTGCATGGAAGTGTGAGTTAATGCAGGAAACAGAAAAGCCAATTTGCAGAAAAGTAGCATCTACCTGCCTTGGCTATTAATGGGATTGAAGGCCTGAAGTGTCAGTGTCGCTTGAAAAAGGAAAAAAAAGCCTAATGAATCCTTAGCTTTGAACTCCTTAAAGGAAGGGGAGGGGGAAATCTCACAGTTGAGGAAGAGCTGTTAGCTCTTGCCATTTGGAATGCTTGAGAGTTGAAATATGTTTATTGGGGGATGAAGGGAATAATGGATGTCTCTTATCATTAATTCATTTCTTGTTTTGTATTTGACTGAAATATAAATATATATTTTTTTGTGGATAGTTGAAATTTGAGATCTTGCTGTTGAGGGAGCCAATCCTGAAATTCTGGCTCTCCGTGGGTTTTCTATTCTTCCTAGTTTGTATCTCAACAGCTGTAGTAAGGGACTTGGAGTAGATTCCTCCCTGCCTGTCCCCCCGATACCATAGCTGTGAGCCCAATCAAGGTGCTCTGAGAACTCATTTAGCTTTCTGGTTGAATGGTCACCAGGCAGTCCAGCTCTATTAAATGCCATGAGATAAAGCCATAAAAGTTCCAATTCCATTTTTGGAATGGATAGTTTTTAATGACTGCTTTGTCCTATAGATCTTCAGAAAAGCTTGTTACCTGTGTTCTGAGTGAAGATGCTAAACCACTTAATTTTCTGACTATTACAGCCTTTATTATAGGAGTTTGAAGTCCTCATGACTTGCTGTGGGAAGCCCTCAGTTGAAGAGAAGGCTGGAAGAAACATGGGTGGGTCAGTGCTAATATATATTTGTTCTGGCAACTTCAAAAAGGGGCAAGAGGAAATAGTAGAAAACTGATTCAAGGAATAGGGCCTGGACTGATTTGCCCTGCTGTACTAGCCATTATTTTAAGAGTATATAGCATTTATTCTTTATAGTGTTTGCCGGAAGAACAGATCATGTGAGTGAGATAGAGGCTCAAGCTTTACACCTCTTCTGAATTTCTTGAATGTGAAACAAAATGACTGAATTGAAAGTGCCTATTTTGTTAGATGTGCGTGAATGCAAAAAAAACCCAAACCAAACAAACAAAAAAAAAAAACAAACCAAACCCAAAAAAGGCTGGGTTTGCCTTCCTCCAGGCAAAAATAGGTGGAGTAAAACAACATGGTCATGCAGGTGTGTATTACAGAGATTCTCACTGGACACAGGAATAAGGGAAGTTGGATTGACTTACTTGGAATGTAATTGGTATTTCATATTTCTTCTACACAAACCATGTTTATGAGAAGTGTAGTTGGAGTCATATATGAAGTCTGCAGTGTTGTTTTAGGGGTACCATACCTGTTAAAAATAATTTCACTTACCTTTAAATATTATTTCTTACTACTTTTAAATTTATTTTGGATAAATAGCTTTAAAATATTAGAGTCTAAAGTGTTAGTAGCTGAGATGATAAAGTACCGTTCCTTTGAATAGCAAAAATAAAGGATAAGTGCCACTCATGAATAAATGGGGGGTTATTTCAGTTTTACTGTTTCACTTAATTTTAAGTTGTATGAAACTTTTATTTTTTTAATAGACAGATAGCCTTGTCTAATTTTGGATAAGATGCTATGTTCATTTCATTAGATGTAACAGTATGTCCAGTCTGCTAGCAACAAAGTAGGTTGATGTTTCTTTGGTTAGTTTGATTTGGTTTGGGTTTTTTTTTTTTTTGTTTGTTTGTTTGGAGGACCAGTCCTGGCAAGTGATAGGTATGTTTAGAGTACTCAGTAAGCAATGGAAGTGCCATTCTTGGTTATTTTGCGTTAGCATGGATTTTGATTTTTGTGTAGTATGTAGCAGAGGTCACTCCTTGGATTTGTATGCTAGGTAATCAAGTTGCAGAGTGCAGTGGCTGTGTACGTTTGTATATATGTTACTCAGTGCATGACCTGAACTTAAGAACTGTCAGCTTTGGGTTTTTTTTTTTTAGCCTAAGTAGTGAAACCATTGTAAACCAGGCTCTAAACTGAAGAAATTGTTCTAAATTCCTATCAAGAAACCTTTCTCTATTAGCTGTGTTTTGATTCTGTTAATTTTCTGTTGCTGGGTCTTTCTGTTTTGATGTATAAATGATTTGTACTGGATTTTACTTCATTTTATTTAAGTCATCTTTTATTTATTCGTTCCCGACCGTTAAGTATCTTCCAGGGTAATCCTCCCCCCTGCACCCAGGAACAGGGTTTATTTTCTGTCTGTTGTGGTGGAGAGGACGAGTTAGCCTCATTCTCTGTAACCTTTGCATCTGCAGGGCTTCGCTGCCTTGCTCTTTTTGGAGGGAGGCTGTTCGTGCTCTTGCACTTGAATGTCTGAAGCACTGGGTTCTTTCCACAGCATAACTTGCTTTACTCCTCGAGAGGCGCACGCTCCGTACTGCTTCTACCATTTCCAGCAGCTCTGCTGTGTTTACTTGCGGGCTTTCTTACGGGCTAGTTTCTAGCTTTATTTTCCTGCCCTCCGATTCTTAAAGCATTGAGTTAAATAGCTGGCAATAATCTTGTTTTGCAGAGTTAATAATTTTGTGTTAATCATTTCTCATCTTCTGTCGAGTTTTTTTCTGCCCTGCCGTGACTGCCATTCCCTACATGTGCGTTAGATCCAAGCTGCCTGGTAATTAAGTCTGCAATAGAGTTTCAGTGCTCTGAATGATTTCTTGATACAATTCTCTAACTACAGCTTAGAAAAGCAGTTATGTGGTTAAAGCTAGTGTTTTAATAACAGGGCAGATTTTTGTTCCCCATTTGCATATTGAGCCAGCAAATAGCTGAGTGGCTCCTCTGTGTATTCAGTTGTGGTCTTCTGAAGATCTCCTGGAAGATTAGAAGCAGCGCAGCTTTGTGAATCAAGTTTTAAAAATTACCTGTTTTGGTGAAACTTGCCTTGTTAATATTCAGCATTACACAATTTCCCACTAGGCAGCAGAGTTAGCGGGAGGCCCTTGTAAAGACAAATATATTTCTTTAAAAAATAATTAAAAAAAAAAAAGCCCAGAAACAAAAACCAATCATTTCCTTGAATCTTTTTACAGCACCTTGTGCTGCTCTTGAGAGAAGCATCCTAAACTTTAAACAGTAAGATAAGTAATAATTCATTTCTGTGTTCTGATTGTAGTATAAATACAACCTAACCACAAAGTACCTCAGAAGATGACAGTATATACTAAGTCATTCATTTATAGTTGCTCCCCCTGCAGGCATGGTTATTCTTCAGGAAGACTCAGGACTTCTATTTTTTACTTTTACTTTGATTTAGCTCTCACGGAATTGATCTGAACAGAGCAGCTTGCACAGCCCTGAAGATCTGGTCCAGAGTACTTTTGTCAGTGTGGCGAAGGTTTGAATTAAACTAAATGTCTAAGTGCTGATACACAGTGAGTGTGTATGCACAAGGATTTACTGTGGAATACTTATTTGAAAGCTGGTATATTTATTTGGATATAGCAGCTATTTTGAAATATTTGGAACCCTCTGAGCATTACCTGTCTTCGTTATGGAGCTGTAAGCATCTCAAGTAAATGATGTTGTGTGATCTCTTGGGATGTGTCATGTTGTCTGACTGAATGCAAGTCACTGTCCTATTTTCCTGTCTTAACAAATACAGACTGTTAACTAATATCTTCATATTTTGAGGTGGGTCTTGCCTTATAACGTGTTGTACTTCTAAATGTTTATAAAAAATTTTAACTTGTTTAGAGCAACTTGCAAATTCTGTCTCTTATGAATGCTTCTAGGCTGTTACAGATGATAAATGCCAAGTAGCTCAGTGAAACTGTACAACTGAAGGTTCGCTTAAGACCTGATCGTAGTATAAGGTTTGCAAGCAAACACTATTCGAACCTTCATTTAAAGTATAGTTTCTAATTAGTTATTACCAATAAATTGTTTGGTTTAAATGGTTCTGAGTATTCCTTTATTCTGAATTCAGTACAGCATGGTGAGTCTGTCAGCCAAGTGGAATGCTCAGCATTAACAAACAGATTTTTACGTCTGTTAATTTATGAATGATTAAGCATGTTGCAATCAGCATAACAATGATAGACAGATGTGTTCTGGCCTGCGTTGGAGAGGAACTGCATTTGGATTGTAAGTCTGCCAGAAGAGTGTAGAGACTAATGGACCATATCTGGGAGGAGAGTAGTCAAGTATAACAGCATTTCTATGGCAAAGTAATGCATACATTTACAGATCAGTGAGATATTAATAAAATCTGCTTATGCTACATTGTTGAGTGGTGGAGAGAAAGAGGAGACCCTGGTGATGCCTGTATGTTCCCCTGAAATGGAGTTAATTTTGTGAGAATAAATGATACCTTAATTCCATAGTTGAAACATCCAGAAGAATAATTTGATTTTTCATTTGCATAAAGATACGTGGATGATATGAGACCAAATAGCAAATTAAATAAAGCATAGCAGGGCATTATAGCATGCAAACATTAAGTCTGAGAAATGCTTGTTAAGCTCTCCAGGAGCTGAGAGATGGCTCAGCCCTGGCTTTGACCTGAGGGTGTTCAGGTTGGTGTGACCCTTGATCATGAGCTGCACGTTCTTGAAGGGAGTCCAGATGAGATGAATAGTAGTCATGGTTAAGGTGATTGATATATGACGGAAGATGGAGGTATTAATTTTTTTGACAACAGTGTTGGTTCACTTCCAAGTATCTGTGATTGGTCCAGTGTGGGTCACGTATTGTGTCTGAAGTGAGGTGTGCTGGAGTGCTCCGTTAGATGAGGACACTGGGCAGAACGAGGAGCCATCAGACCACAGTTTTTGTTGGAAGGTCAAAAATGCCATGGATGGGAACTGGGGTGTGTATAAAGGGTAGGTGCAGAACTGGTGTATGTTTAGAGCTCAATGCTTCCATGTACTTTGTAAAAAGTAGAAATTCCATATAATATGTTAAAATAGGAAAGGAAAGGGGAGGAAACTTGATACTTTTCAAATTCTTCATTTGATTCTGTAAATAGATTCTTAATACCTTCAATTTCAGATGCTTGTGTTTTTTGAGTTGATCTGTTTTGTGGCTTTTGATAAGTACTTCTTGAAGCTTCTTCCCTCAAATACTTTATTTTAGTATGATTTTTGTGAAAACACTTGTACATACATTGTTTTTTAATGCTTTTACCTGCTATGTGTTGTTACAGAACAGTGGAGATTTTTGTCATGAGTAGAAATACGGAGAAAAAATCATGAGCGTATAACCACGTATAAAACACTTATTTCTCAGATTCATTTGGATAACGCTGCTAATGGGATTTATAACCCCTTAACAGGGAACACAGAGAAACAAAATCTATCCAAGTATAGAATAAACGGGTACCCAGTGCTTTCAGATTAACGAATCTAGGCTTTTAAGTATCACCACAGCTAACTCTGCGTTACCCTTTTTCAGCTGGATATGCCTACTGAGCACATAGTTGCCAATCTCAAAACACTTATCCACGATATCTGCACACTCAAGCCATCGACTTCTGGTAAGTAACTGTTCTTATAATGTGCTAGTTGAAGTTACAGCAAACAAAATTATGAAATGAATGTTCTTTACCAGCTTGTCATTAAATGACTTTGCTGCTTTGTCTACCTTGGGACAGGAAGAGGGAGCTGTTAGGCAACTTGGTAAATCAAGACCTATGAACTTGACAGCCTGCAAGGGCATGAATAGCATCTGCTCTTATGGATGTGAACTCTTAATTGCACTGCAGCATGACATAAGTGTCTCTGTAAGGAAAGGAGTGAGGTGTTGTACAACAGTAAGTTTTCAAGCTTGATGTTTAAATAGGTTAAAGCCATACAAGGAAATCCTTATGAGGCACGGAGGTCTTCAGCATCTGTGTGCATTGGTTTTACCCCGCTGACGTGACCCTGTTGTGGCTTAATGCAAAAAATCTGAACCAGGAATCTACCTGCAGTTGCATCTGTTAAAACCTGTGCTTCACTTAACATCTAGTTTGGTTAGCTACCCTGTTTGAAGGTATACCGTCATTTTTTTTTTTTCTATTACAAAGACATTTTTAAAATTTTTGCTGCTCCAAGGGAAAAGCCATTAATATTTTTTCTTGTTGTAGTTCCTTAGCAAAAGGATCAGGTTACAAAGGAGTAAAGATGTGAATTCTGTGTATTGTTCCTGTGGGTTCTGCTCAATGTTCTGAGCAAAGAACATGAACACTAATGTGCCAGCTGCTCTTTCTCATAATGAAGTAGACTTTAAACAAATGTCATCTGTTTAGCTGGAGTGGAAATGGTGATTTATGAACATAATTTTATGGAAGAATAGCCTTGTTTAAGGAAACAACTTTTTATATTAATACTGACTTCATGTCAGTAGAAAGAATCATCTTGCATCTCTTCTAGTGATGCTGTTAATAGTAACTCCAGTACAGAGACCAGACCACAAAAAGCCAATTACACGTGCCTTTAGAAGCATTTCAGCCCAAATAAAAGGTATAAGGGGTTGATTGACTTGAAATACAAGTAAACAGAAGCAGCAAGTGGTGGTATTTTTGTCCTTAATGAGTTCATATGTGAACTACACCAACCTAGTTAAGTAAAGGTAAGCTCTTCTGGTCTTAGTAGCATTTCTACTGATTTTGTGGTATCAAGCTTGATTCTTGTGGTGGGTCTCTTGCTGGCATGGTTAAAAATATTTGTCGTTTATAGGAAGCAAACTTGATAATTAATACATCTTTACAACAATGGAATCAAGATATGCTTGCTAACCATCAATCACTTAGACCAACTAGCTGTAGATATCTGTTCTGTAGTTCCTTTCAGACTTCCCATACGTAACAGCATGTCTTCATGGAGCTATGTAGTTACCACTAAAACGTCATTCCTCTGCAAGTCACTTGATCTAATGCAAGACTATAAATATGCCACCAGGCAGATGTTCTTAAAGTATAACGTAGCTCTATTTAATCTTCCATAAAGAAATCTGACTGGTTTTGTGGTTGTTCTTCTCGTCAAAAGGTTCACTCGGAACTTCATGGTAGGATCCTGAATTAGGAATAGTTTCTTTGGGGGACTAAGGTATCCATCAAATTAGCATCTTTGATGGCACCAGACTGTGAATTGCATGTTGAACCCAATCTGCCAGCATGGATGTTAAACTCCCTGTACCAAAGGGATTTGTCTACCTGTCTAGTTCTGATTCCACTCATGTGCTTGACACAGTATGAGTTATGACTAAGATAAATCAGCCAGGAGACATGAAAAGTGGTAGTGTGACCAAATTGGCATTTTCCTTTGTTTTCTAGGTCCCCTTGTGCAGAAGTTGGTTATTAGATCTGCAACCAGTGAAGGTTTGCTCTTGAACCTTGATGGACTTCTGCCTCAGGTGGAGAAAGTAGGAGATGAAGAAAAAAATACAGAAGGCGATGAAGAAAAACACGTCCAAGAATCTCCTAGTACCTGACATCTTTCCTTGTAGACCTGATGATCAAGCTCAGGAGGGAAATGGTGTAATTCAAATCCCACTTTATGAAAATTAAAAATAAATCTAATTTGTGACTTTCACTTTCAAATTCTGTAACAAGAAACATTGTCACAAACAGGAGTGTGTTGTCAAAACTGAAGACGTTTTAAATGCCTTTTGTCAGTAGCTGAAAGCTTCCCAGTCTGTGTGCTTGGTTTTTTTATTTCTTTGCATGTAATAATACTTACTTTAATAAAAGTATTTCTATAACTTCTGAAGTATTGCCATCCAATTTCCACAGTTGCAGCTGAAAGGCCATCACACTTTCAAGCCATAAGGTTGGGTTTTTTTATTCTGTTGAAATTGCAGTATGTTCAACACTTCTGTTACCTTTACTCGGTCCCCCCCAGAGCAACTAATGCAGTTGCTTGTGGAAAGCTGCTGTATAACTCAATAATGAAGGAAACTGGTTTTTATTAACATTCTGTGTTTCTGGCAAGTCAGACATGGTGTTCCTTTTTTTGTTGGTGGGAGTAATGTCTGCATGATGCTTGTGATACCTCACTTTGTTTTCATTTAATCTGCATAGGTAAATACTGGAGGGGTATACAGAGGATTACTGCTCTGCTACTTTGAGCCTCTGAATGCAGGTTAGTCTTTGTGACAAATGGTAATAGGTGAGGTTTTTCTAAAGAAAAATGGGATTTATTCTGTGGGAGCAGTGATTGTGCACCTTATGTTTCAAATAACGTTACTTCATTTTGCATAACTGATATGATGCCCTTCAGAGAACCCAGTCAGTCCGTGGTTTGTACTATCCTGGAAAGAATTAAGCTTAAATTTGGGTTGAAACTTGAGTGAAGCTAATAAGTGTTACTTTCTTGTCTATTTTCTATCATAGAGGTTCTTCTAGACGGGCTTGTGAATAACCACTTGGGATGAGTAGATGGGTTTGGGGGAGTGGGGGCAGCTTCACAACAAGCAGCAGCAGATCTCTTTCTATACAGGTGACTCGGAGGAAGATTCCCATGCTATGCTTCCTGATGAGGTTTGGGTTTTTTGCTTAAAAATGCTGACTGGTGCCTTATGTGGATTCGATGTGTTTATTGTCTGGAGATGGAGGAGCACGTACCTAACAGGAGCAGTGAGTAGCTAGGAGCTGCAGGACTGTCATCCTGTGCTAAGTTAGTCACTTTGGAGCTCTGCAGACCTGGCTAGGAAACACTGATTTTTCTAGTGGCTGGCTGGAGGCTCCCCGTCCCCTCTGTCACTGTATGGGGAGGGGAGGGGGGAAAGGTTGTGGTGGTCACCTTTGGTTATCTACCTGCTTCACTTTGTTCCTCTGACTCTTAATAGCTATGCACACCACTTAGATTTGGCAGAAAATCTTGCAAATAAAGACTGTAATTGAAATGGAGGTGTCTCTTAGCAGTAGCACAGTTTGGCATAAGTGGTAGACTTCCCAGTAAATGAGTTGAGCTCTTGTTGGGGTTTGAGCTCTTAAGCACATCAGAAAGCTCAACTTGGCAATGATTCTGGTTTTGTGCACAGTTAGCTTTTTGTTCTTTGGGGATAGTTGGTCTAGGTCAAACAGTTTAAAGCCAAAACACTGAGCCTTTTTCAGAACAGACAGTCTTGAGTGTGCGTGTAATGTAATCTTACCATTCTGCCTCATTCAATTCAGTCTGTGGCAATTGCTGTGACTTCTTATTTTGCTTACCTTTGTTTTTCTCCAGCTTAAATATATTTATATAAATATATATGTTTATCTATTTATAAATATATTTATATAAATAAATAAAATTCTTAAATATAAACTGGAGACCAGCGTAAATATCCCTGTGTCTTTTAACTGGCTGTTTGAAAATAGGTGGGTTTTGCTTTGCTACAGAATTTCTTATTTTTTTTCCACGTTGTTTCCAGCAGGTGGCATTCTTGTTCCGTTCTGTAGAGGTGTCAGAAGTTTTCTCAGTGGGTTTTTTTTTGGACTTTGTTGCTAAACATGTGGGTAGAACTGCACCCTAAAATGTAAGATAGTTCCAAAAAGGATTGGCTATTTACGAGAAGGATGAACTCATCCGAATCTGGAAGGGTGGTTTGTGTTTGCAGCTTTAAATCATTCCTATTATTGGAGGCAGAGCTCATTTTTCAAAGAGGTTACCAGTATATCTTGTCTGCATAGAAATTCCTGTACCTCCCATCTAAAGCATTTGGTGGCTGTCAGTCAGAGTGCTTGATAGATTACTGTTAGGCCACACAGCTATATTTTTGTTTATGTGAGGTGTTTTTCTCAGAGTTGGATCAAAAAAATCTAGACTTACTAGGTAGTATGTGGAAAAAACAGTGCCAATGCGCTTGAATAGCCGTCTAAATTTTCTTCATGTGAGCTGTGCTCGTATGCCTAGTAGAAAGAAGAAAACTAAATCTGTTGCTATTCAAAATGAAGGGTTGATGTGACTGGCAAAAAATAATGTCAAATATGTTCAGTGATGTTAACTGCCTTTAACATAGCATTTAGTCCAAGTCTTCAATCAGGAATTGGTAATGGTTTAGAATGGATATTGCTGGTTTGGGTTTGGGTTTGGTTTTCATTTTGGTTTGTCCTCCTTCCTCTGTCCTGCAGAAATAAAAGTTGTAGAGTGAAGCTTTTTTAGCTCCCCAATACTGATGTCTTAATTTCTGGTGTGGAGCACCAGGCGAGTTTCAGAAGATAAGTGAGGGTAGGTAATCAAGAGGAAATTTGGGGGTTTAAGTGTTTCAAATCTGTGGGTGTTTTTTCTCCTCCGCCTGTGCTTTAATTGATCGTACTGCTTACTGGTGGTTGTGTACTGGCAAGTCTAGTCTATGCCAACGTAGAATGCGGTAGCAACTTAATCAGTCTGCAGCAGAAGTCTTGATAACTTATGACAAGTTTTACCTGGGTTTTTTTTCTAATGAAAAGAAAACTAATCACGTTGCATAAGCTCCTCATTTGCAATCTGTCTAGCTTCATTAGCTCAAGTACAACAACCTTACTTATGCTGTAACCTTTTTCTGCTTGGAGTTTGTGCTGAGGATGCATGCTTCCGTGAGCAGAAGAGATCAAGAGGGACCTGGCTCTCAAAAGAGGGACATGCATCTCAAATGGATCACAGGTGGTTGATTAACACTGATTTTTAGTGAAAGGTAGGATGTTGTTTTACAGGAATGTTGTTTCACCCTGTAAATGACAGTCTGTGCCTTGTGTAAGCAAAGAGTGGGTTTATTACTAATGAATTTACATACACAAGGAATATTATGAGATTTATAATAATTACATGCTGTTTGAGACCTGACAGGAACAATGTGAAGGGAAGCTACCTGTTAGTGTAGAAAAACAAGGCTTGTGATATAATTTCATCGGTTTCTTGGTCTCTGTTTTTTTTTCTTGGCTTATTTCAAAGGCTTTACTATCTATTATGGGAAAAGGTAGATCCATCCTGTTGGAGATAGGTGGCTTTTTAAAAAAAGTGCTGCTTCAGCATAAATATACAGGTGAATTTAAATCATAAGCTCTCAGACTGCTGAGTGTCCTCTCAAAGAATGAAAGTGTGGAATAATAAAACATTCCTGCAGAAATCTGTACTTTGAAAATTTGAACATTATGGAAATACTGTAAATCTTGAACCTCTTGAAGTTGGGTGAGCAAAAGAAATAGCTCATGAACTTAGCAATTTTTCAGCTGCATTTGTTCAGGTGTAAACCTGCAGTTCTGAGTGCGTGTTACTATGCTACTAACTGATAAAGTAATAATGCCCCTGGTCTGTGTAATAATGAAATAGCATTATTCAAGCTGTTGAGTATTTTGTGATTTTTATCCTGAAGTGCTTGATTGGCACAGAGGAGAGGTGAAAGGGAGGAAGACAACATGAGATTATTCCCCTTCAATAAGCTTAGTCCCAAAGCGTGCAGAGTGAGAATTGTTGTACATGTGGTTCTTGTGCCAATATGCCTTAGAAACCAGTTGTTACAGTAAGCATAACTAAAATGGCTTTGAGAAATAAATACTAGTGTACTCATAGCAAAGTGTGCAGTTGTAATGCTTTAGTGGTTTCTGATTAGGCAGAGCAGTATACAAACAGGTTATCTGTCCTGAATTTTAAGTTCTTGGAAATCCTGTATAATAAGAGGCACCTTATTTACCAGAGTTTCTGTTAATGAGTGCTTAATACTCGTTTGGTAGGTGAATAGAGTGCAGATCTTCTATCAAAAGCAAAATGGCAGTAACCCAGGACCTGGTTACCCAAGTAGGAGGTGAAGTGAGAAAGGACGTGTTACAGCACGTTAACCAGTCCACGCTAGCTGCTTGTGTGTGATGGTACCTGCAGTAAGTGGAAACCAATCTCAAGTAAGTCACTCCATAGTGAGAGGTACTCCAGGTAGACTCTTACTAACTGTTATCTCCTGTTAACCAGCCATACCTTGCTGTGCATGCCTGGCCCTGGGCAGGAAGGGAGAGATGGCCGGGTGGGTGGCTGGAAGGACAAGGACCAGCTTCCCCCTACACCACAGAAGTGAATGCTGGTCGGCGTGCCCTAGTTCTCTCCCAGAGGGCTTCGTGTTTTGCACTTACCCTTCATTCTCTCCTGTCTGATTTTTAGCAGCACAATCCAAGCTATGCTGAATTTGGTTGGCAGCTTCATTTCAACCAAAAACGCTTCTCAGGGAAGTATCGGGTTACGGCTTTTGAGGTGGCAGCCTCTTTGCCTCTAAATATATGCTCTTGCTGATGGTAAGAAAGTGGGAGTCGATGTATGGGCCTTGTAATCCCTGCTATTTGAGTACTGAAGAAGTTTACTGATGTTCCTTGTGGGGAAAAAAAGGGAGTGCTGCCATACATTTAGTAATGCAGATGATGTACGATTGCTTTTAAAATTGTCGTACATGAAACTGCAGTTAGTTTAACTAAGGAGAAGCAGGCAATCAACTCGGATTCACAGTTGATACCTACAGAAACATTTGCCCAAACAAGGAAGAAATTACCACAGAGGCATGCGTGCAGCTGTGGGGAACGAAGGGTTTAGGCTGACACACTCAGTCTAAACCTGGACTTGTACGGGAATTAGTTGCATTCCAAAAAACTTTGGATCTGTATAGGTCAAACTGAGTTCGCAGGGCTTTTGCTGTAAATTATGGCATGGAGGTGAAGTTAGAAGAGCAGGACGGGGGTGTTAAAAACACCACTTTTGATGCAAAAAAGGCGAGTGATCTTCTCCATGTGCACCGGGGGTTTTCCAGAGTACTCGCGGTTA